TGAACTGGCCTCTTTTAGTGATCTCCATTGTTGCCATATGACTTAAAAAAAAAAATTAAAAAAAAAAGGTTTTACTCAGTGGATAAAACATCGGCCTGCGGACTCAAGGATCCAAGGTTCAATTGTGGTCAAGGGCATGTAAATTGGTTGCGGGCACATACCCAATAGGGAGTGTGCAGGAGGCAGGTGATCAGTGTTTCTCTCATTGATGTTTCTAACTCTCTATCCCTCTCCCTTCCTCTCTGTAAAAAATCAATAAAATAAAAAATTTAAAAATCTCAAAAAAAAAAAAGGTTTTATTTTTATAGTGTTAGTGGGAATATAAAAGTGGTATAGTCTCTTTGGAAATCAGTTTGTTAAATCTATTAATGAAACAAAATATGGCCTTTAATTAAGCAATTCAACTTCTAGAAACTTATACCTGCACAAAGTAGAATAGACAAATTTGAGTGGACAAGGATAGTCTAGGACAGGGGTCTGCAACCTTTAAGACATAAAGAGCCACTTGGACCTGTTTCCGAAGGAAAAAAAACCTGGGAGCCGCAAAACCATTGCGACATTTAAAACAAATATAACACTGCATATATTGTTTCTTACCTTAATGCTATATACCGGATCGTGCAGTTAGCTGTCAATCTGAAGAAAAAAAGGACTTTTTCATTAACAATGTAAAATATATTTTTGCAAGTTAATAGCTAATTAAAATATTTAATTTACCTTGTTAATGGGATTTTTGCTCCTGAACCTCAGTGCACAGTGTCTGCACATCAGGGCTGTAAGACGTTACCTTCATTTTCACACAGGCTTGCAAGTTGTCATCTGTGAGGCATGATCGATGTTTGTTCTTAATATAGTTCATGTTGGAGAAGACCTGCTCACATACATATGTGGAGCCGAAGATCGACAGGACTCCAAATGCATACTTTTTCATGTTTATATAAGTGTTGGGGATGGCATTCCATGTTTCGAATACAAGTTTGTCCTGTTTGGGAAGGTTTTCAATATCACTCCATTTATGATTCTGAGCCAGAATGGCCTTCTGATGGGCAACATCCTCAAGAGTAGCGGTCAAGCATTTGAACTTGGACACCCATATATCTTTGTCGGCTATATCGGCCAGTTCCATCTCAAGATCAGGTTGACTTACACCTGCAAATGCATTCATATTCAATAGGGATGGATCGATCGCCAGGGAAGTGACAGGGAAGGATAATGTGGTTTTTTCCTCTCTGAACTCACAGAATCGTTTCCCAAACGAACTTCGCATTGTGGTGATTGCAGACTTCAAATATTCCAAATTTATCGTATCATGACTTTGTTTGAACTCTCTCAAAGAGGGAAAGTGAGACAGTGTACCTCTCTGTAAATCTTTGACAAACACTGTCGACTTGTGCTCGAATGCCAAAACAGCCTCCAGCATGTGCAGGGCTGTGCCTCCTTTCCCCTGAAGGGTTGTATTTAGTGTGTTTAGATGTGCTGTCATGTCTACCATTAAATGTAATTTTTCCAGCCACTCTGGTTGTTCCAGCTCAGCAAAGGTAAGTGATACAGCTCCCCGTCCCCCTCCCCCCCTGCTATTGGCCCTGCAGAGCCGCGGCAAAGCTTCAAAAGAGCCGCATGCGGCTCTGGAGCCATAGGTTGCTGACACCTGGTCTAGGCTGTATTGCTTATGAACTGAAAAACTGGCAATAACCTAAATGTTCATAGGGAGGGCTACATGAATTATGATACATCTAGCTGATGGAATTCTCTGCAAACATTTTTTTTTTTAAAAGAATAATGTAGAGTTTCTATATTGCAACAGAAAGGCCTTCAAGGAGTATTAAGTGAAAAGAGAAAGGTTGAATGATAATAATTAAAATAATAGTAATTATTATAAACACTTACAAAGTGTGTACTATGTTTTAAGTACTTTACCATTATTAACCCATTTAATTCTCATTACCACCTTGAGGTGCATACTATTGTCATCCCATTTTACAGATGAGGAAACTGAAGCACAGTAATATCAAGTGGCTTGCCCAAGGTTGTCAAATTAGTGTCAGAGGCATTGTCTGGTTTGAGAATCAGTGTTCTTACCTAGTTATTTCCATGGATGTTAAGAAATGAAAATACATGAAAGTATTTTTGTGTATGGATGTGTATGTATATGTGTTCATATATGCACGAAAATGACTCTAAGCATAGCCTCTTAACTTCTAGCAATTGCTTTCTCTAAGAAGGGTTTGGGGTGGGAAAGGAAGAGGAGAAGATACTTACATTTCTTTTTTGCTTGTTTGCTTTTGTTATGAGGAACATTAATCCTATATAATAAAAGGCTAATATGCAAATAGATTAAATGGCTGAATGACTAGTCGCTATAATATGCACTGACCACCAGGGGGCAGATGTTCAACACAGAAGCTGCCCCTGGTGGTCAGTGCGCTCTCACAGGGGGAGCACCACTCAGCCAAAAGCTGGGCTCACCATGCTATGATGGTGAGCACAGCAGCAGTAGCCATCTGTTGGACATCCCCTGAGGGCCTCTGGACTGCAAGGGGGTGCAGGCCAGGCTGAGGAACAATGCCCTCTCCCCCAACACACACACCAGTGCACAGATCTTGTGTACCAGGCCTCTAATATTTTATAATCTTCTTTTCACAAGGGATGTTTCTCAAAATGTAACTCTCTAGTTATTTTCCTTCTGTTGCTAGCAGTTAAAGAAATTTGACCATTTTCCTCACTATTAAAACATTCTTTCATTCATTGGTTCACTTAATACAAATATCTAAACTGTCCTAGTTCTCCCTGTCTTTCCCAGTTCTCAAGAAGTTCACTAGCCGAAACCGGTTTGGCTCAGTGGACAGAGCATCGGCCTGCAGACTGAAAGGTCCCAGGTTCAATTCCGGTCAAGGGCATGTACCTTGGTTGCGGGCACATCCCCAGTAGGGTGTGTGCAAGAGGCAGTTGATTGATGATTCTCTCTCATCGATGTTTCTAACTCTCTATCCCTCTTTCTTCCTCTCTGTAAGAAAATCAACAAAAAGTATATACATTTTTTAAAAAGTTCACTGTGTAGTGAAACAGATTGACATATAAACATGTAATTCCAGAGCCTCTATAAAGGGGACACACAAAGATGGGGTGGGAGGGGCACAAAGGAGAGATGTCAATTCTGAGGAGAGCAGTGAGAAGGAAGGCACCCGGAGAGGAAGTAATGTTTTGCCTAAATACTGAATAAAAAGTAAGAGTTCTTTAGGAGACAGGGGAGGGAGAGAGAGAAAAGGCATCCCAGATGGAGGGAATAATGGGAGTAAACACAGAAATAAAGACACTGGAACCCACCTTGTTCTTTAGGGGACGGGTGTGGCTTGACTTAGCTGCAGCTTAGCAGGAGAAACATGAGCAGTGCCTGCCTCTGGAGATGTGGGCAGGAGCCACATTACCTAAGCCCTGAGAGCCATGTTACGAACTTCATCCCATGTACCAGATGTTCCTAAGGAACATTAGACGAATCAGGTGTTCCCAGAATAAGTCAAAGATGTAGATGCATACGATGGAAGGCCATTCTGACACATGCTGCATGTGGATGAACTCGAAAACATGCTAAAGGAAATGTTAGATACCAAAGGACAAATAATGTTATGATTCCATTTATACGAGGTACCTAAAATAGTCAACTTCATAGACTGAGAGTAGAATAGTGATTCCTCGAGGCTGTGGGCAGTTACTGTTTAGCGGTTACATAATTTCAATTTGAGATGATGAAACTGTTCGGGAGATGGGCTGGAGATGGGTAATGTAATGGTGAGAGTTGCACAATAATGTCAGTGCACTTAATGCTATTGGAACTGTACACTCAAAAAGTCTTAACATAAAACATTTTACATGATGCATATTTTACAATTAAAAAAACAGGTTAAAATGATAACTTTATGTTATGTGTATTTTTACAATTGAAAAATATGGGGAAAAGAGATAAAGATATTGACAAAAATATTTAGGGAAATCATTCTTTTTCTTTCCTGACATTAAAATTAGGTACATCAGTCAAAAACATTTTTTATTGATTTCAGAGAGGAAGGGAGGAGTGATGGAAACATCAATGATGAATCATTGGTGGGCTTCTCTTGCAGCCTTCGCCTCTCATCAGAGATCGAGCCCACAACCTGGGCATGTGCTCCTGACGGGAATCAAATCCCGGACTCTTCAGACCGCAGGCCAACGCTCTATCCATTGAGCCAAACCGGCTAGGGCAGGCGAGTCATTTATTTGCTTAAGCTGATAATAAAGATTTGTTTCCGTTATATAACAATGACTATCATTTACTGGAAACTAGCTCTGTGCTAGCGTTACCTTCATAGAGATGGGAGAGATGCAGGCTCAGAGAGCTCAACTAACAGGCCCAAGAGCACACAGCCAGGGAGGGGCATTTCTAGGAAACCTCGAATTGGAACTCAGCCCACAAGGTGCTTGATTATCTAGCTCTATTTTTGGACATGCCCATATTTTTCTTTAAAAATCCTCCCATGATCTGCCACGAACATATGTTTGGTGTTTTCTGGGTTGGGAACATGTAAAAAGCCTGAGACTATGCAGAACGAAAAGTTGAGTGTTTACTTGATTGATGATTGATTGATTGACTGAAGTATTACATATGTGTGTGTTCCCATATGAGGTATTACATATGTATTCCCTCCCAGTGTTTACTTTTGATTCACATATAGACCAAGGGCCTTCGCTGTGAATCTATAAACACACAGCCGTGAACTCCTGGGCCAAGCACCTGGGAGGGTGGAGGACGGTTGCATTCCTGTCCCAGGTCTGTCCCCAGAGAAAGAGCCTCCCGCCCGCAGCCGCTGCCTCCGCTTCCCAGGAGCCGGGCCGCGGGGAGAGCGCGCGGCTGGCGCGCAGGCGCGAGGTGGCGGCGCCGCTCCGCGCGGGGCTCCGCCACCCGCGTTCCGGGGTCCCCCCCAGGGATCCCCCTTGCGCTTCCCCTCCGCCCTCCCCGCACTCGGGGTCGCCGCTGCCCCTTCTCCGGGCCCCTCCGTCCCTCTCACCCCGGCCTGGCCCCGCACGGTCCCTCCCTCCCCTCTGACCCCGCGGTGCACCCCGCCCGCCGCCGGGGCGAAGTCCGGAGGGTGTGAACCCCGGCCTCCCTGCCCCTGGGCGGGGACGGCGGCCGTGCGGGGAGCCCAGGCGGCGAGCGCGCAGTGCAGCCCGCAGCCCGCAGCCCGCAGCCCGCAGCCCGCAGCCCGGCCCGCGCGCCCCCCGGAGCCGCCGCCGCCGCTCGCCCCCGCCGGGCCCTCCCGGCCGCCGCCGCCGCCGCCGCAGCCATGGCGGAAGTCCACAGACGTCAGCATGCCCGGGTTAAAGGAGAAGCCCCCGCGCCAGCCTCCACACACCGACATGCGGAGGCGCTGGGCATGGCGCCGGCCGAAACGCTGACGGTGTTTCTGAAGCTGCTGGCCGCCGGCTTCTACGGCGTGAGCTCCTTCCTCATCGTGGTGGTCAACAAGAGCGTGCTCACCAGCTACCGGTACGGCCGCGGCGCCAGGCCCGGGGCGGCGGCGGCGGCGGCGGCCCCGGCGCTCCGGCTCCAAAGTTCAGGCTGAACAAAGTTGGCCGGGCGGGCGCGGGGGAGGCCGGGCGGCGCGGACACGCGGCCCGGGCGGCCTGGGCTGGGGGCCTGGGCCGGGGGCCCGCGCCGGCTCCCGGCTCCGCACGGCCCGGCGCGCGTTCGGGGAGCGCCCGCCCGCCCGCCGCGCCCTGCAAAGCCTGTCCCTCCGGGCGCTCCGGAGCGAAGTTGTTTGGTGACCTGTTGGTCCCTGTTGGTCCCTGTGCTCGCCGTGCTGGGAGCAGAGCGGGGATGTCCTCCCGCCAGCGCAGCCGGGCTGGGGGCTGGGGGTTGTTGGGGCATCAGGGTCCCCGAATTCGCTGACAGCCTCTGGGGACGCGCGCGTCCTCAAGCCCATTTGTAAGGAGCCCGGTGCTGTCACTGGACCCTGAGGCAGCAGCATGTCTGCTTGCAAGGTATGAAACCATTGCAGAGACCCATGTCTTCATTTCCTTAAAAAAAAACAACCGTTGGAAGCAGCCGACTGGGATTGTATCAATAGAATCAAACGAGACGAGGCAAGTAGCCGCCTGAAGGTACAAAATCCACGGTGTTGCCTGACCCCACGCAGGGATTTTTCTCTCACCGGTTTTCATTTGGATTGGAGGCGGACACGGGTGTGCTTTGGTATCAGGATGCATTTTAAGGTCAGCTGCGCGCCAACTGCATTCACAGAGCTACCTTCGGGTTTTTCTGACCCTGTCTTGTTTTTCTCTCTCTACCGTTTTGTAGATTTCCCTCCTCACTATGTGTTGGACTTGGCCAGGTGAGTTGGAAGCTTCAGCGTTAACGTGGTTTAGGTCGTTAGAACTTCTCTGTGTGGCTTTATGTGTGGAACAGTGAATCTGTGTTCTCTGTTTACAGATGGTGGCTACAGTGGCAGTTCTCTGGGTGGGAAAGGCGCTCAGAGTAGTCAAGTTTCCTGACTTTGACAGTAATGTACCTCGAAAGGTAAAAATATAAATAAAGTAATTCTTTATTTTCTGAAAAGAAGTCACTATATATTATGTTATATATTACATGTTACATATTATATGTTACACATTATATACCATATATTACATATCATATATTATATATATTACATATATTAGTGTTTATATATTAATCAGTTGCCTTGCATATTTAAAAATTGTCACCCAATCCAGAGTGCGTATAATAAAAGTAAAGAATAAATGTTGTAATAGGTACTTTTATTTATTATAATTTTTTATCCTTATCCGAGGTTATTTTTTCCATTAATTTTTAGAGTGGAAGGGAAAGGGAGAAACAGAGAGAAACACCAATATGAGAGAGACATATCGATTGGTTGCCTCCCACATGCCCCTGACCAGAATCAAACCCGGGACCCTTTAGTCCGTTAGTCCGAAGGCCAAAGCTCTATCCACTGAGCCAAACTGGCTAGGGTATTTTTTTTTTAAAGTTCCATAATCTCTTAAAATTAAGAAAAAAAGGCCCCAGAAATCATATGTTCTGTTTAACTTACTAGTAATGAACACTTTCTTTTTGGAATACAACCATTTTGCATTTCCTGCATCTAATCTAGCCAGTGTATTGTTTATTCATTCTTCAGGTTTATTTTCTTATTCTGTCTGCATCTGCTTGCTCCACTTGAAGATGAAGTGCATTTTTTCCCCCTGCTGACCTTAGAGCTGTGGGCTAATACATTATCATATTTTAAAATAAACAATATATTTATCCCACGTTTGATTATACTCATATTTGTTGGCCCTACTCCCCCCTCCCCGGCCCTCCCCCCATGCCTCTCTCTCTCTGCCATGGTAGTGCTGTTTATCCAGGAATAATATTGTTGGAGCACTATGTGGGGGCCAAAATTGTGTGTGAGAACTAATCTTGTGTTTTTAAAGGGAAAGAATTTAATCATATAAACAAAACTGTTTCTGTTTGAAAGGCCCTGTGTTAGCTATCTTTATTATTGAGTTTTGTTATCCCTTTTAAATTTTCTAGACGTTTCCACTACCTCTACTATATTTTGGGAACCAAATCACGGGACTGTTCAGCACAAAGAAACTGAAGTATGGATACTTTACCTTACTAGTGAGGTTATCTAATGTATTCTTAAAATTTTATTTGAATGTCAAATATTTAACACATTATTATTGATGCTGAAAGAAATGAAAGGACCAGAAAACTTGTGCTATTAAATAATGAAGATTACACTAAGGGTTTTAGTTTAAGCTCTTTAAGTTTAAAGGGAAAGAGGGTTTTTATTTGTTTGGGGTTTTTATCACTCAGTTTGATGATAGAAGTCTTACAGTGTCATAAAATGCTGTGATAGAGGATTTACGTTATTTTTCCAGATGTATAGTGAAGGATATATGCTTTGCTCTTGGGATTTCAATTATTTAATTCAATTTATGGATATTATGTTTTTGACAAATTTTACAAGCAAAATCAGAGGGTGGGTAGGAGAACTTTCGTAGTGCTTCTTTTAACATGTTAAAATAACACCAGATGGAACCCTGATGTAAGCGTGATTAATATTTTCCTCATGGCTATATACCTGTAGAGGCAGCCTTTTCACTTTCGGAAAGAAGTGATAGCTCTCCACTCTATGACAATACTGTCTTATTATCCTTCAACTTCCCCATTCTTGGTGTCCATACTTATGGAGTATAGTATGTATTGAGTATATGTGATGTTAAAATTATACACACAAGGAAACCATTTAACAGAAATCCATGTCTTACCACTTTCACATGAGCTAAACCCTGGCATACTTGCTGGATGGGTATAAACCAGAATGGGGAGACCTCTGAGGGTCAGGGACCAATTGTTTTTCATTCCTTCTTTAGACCCAAGAAACTTTACAGAAGGACCATGATGGTATCTCTGGAGAGTGTCTCATGGAAGTCAAATTTGTCATAGGCGGGCATCCTTTTCCATCTCAGTACCCATTTGGAAAGAAATGCAGGCCTGCTGGAAAGGCTGCTAATAGCATTTACTCTTTTTCATCCTCGCCATCCATCCGTTCAGCCACACCCTGACTGTGATTGCCAGCTCAATATAAGGCACTTTGCAGTGAGATGAAATATATTCATAAATCACTGTATTCCAAGAGGCTGTATGTTTGATCAATGCAAGCAAAATACTCTGAGAATTTGGAGGAAGACAAAAATTACTTCCACAAAAGGACAATTAAGGAATGTCTAATGGAGTAAGCTTATGGTAGATGTTATTAGGAGGGTTGGAGTGGGAAGGGAGGTCAGTAAAGAAAGGAGAGAAAAAGAAATAAGTTCTTAAACTTTATTTTACCTAATTATCTTTTTTTTTTCCCCCCTAGCTTGCCAATGTTTACAGTTCTGAGGAGGTTCTCCATCCTGTTTACAATGATTGCTGAAGGAGTGTTACTAAAGTGAGCTACATTTCTAACACATTTAGTCTTTAACAAACTGTAGTCGCTTTGAAAAGGTACCCAGCATAGTGATTGTTTAATAAAAATATTAAAATTATTTGCCTTGCTTCTACTTTATCTCTTGGAAAGTTTAAGCAACTTGATCCCTTTGCTCTGGGAATTGATAGTTTATGGGAACAGTAGTTGGGAAGATTATGAATAGGAGTTAGAAACCTGTCTAAACACGAGATACACTTTCATGAATTCCTATACTGACTGCTGCTACTGGGGGAAGAGGAGTCAGAAACATCAGTATAATTTTGTGCTTTACTTAAATCCTTACTCGAGGACATGTTTTTATTGATTTTTAGAGAGGAAGGGGGAGAGAGAGAAACATTGATCAGTTGTCTCCCGTATGCACCCCAATCGGGGATCAAACCTGCAACCTAGATATGTGACCTGATGAGGAATCGAACCAACAACCTTTTGGAATACGAGACTATGTTCCAACCAACAGCCACCTGGCCAGGGTAGAATAGGACTTAAATAGTGTTCCTGTCTCGGCTACTTTCACTACAAATGTGTGTGACCTTTTTCTGCTTTAAGAGATTCCAATTTGTTGAACTACAGCTCAATAAAAACAAACGATAAGAGTGAGGGAAAAAATGAGTATATAGCAAAATAAGTTTTTGTTTTATCAAAGGGGTTCTTTTAAATATCTAATTCATTGGAAACATAAAAATATGACTGTCTAGCCAAAACCGGTTTGGCTCAGTGGATAGAGCGTCGGTCTGCGGACTGAAAGGTCCTAGGTTCGATTCCGGTCAAGGGCATGTACATTGGTTGCGGGCACATCCCTGGTAGGGGGTGTGCAGGAGGCAGCTGGTCGATGTTTCTCTCTCATCGATGTTTCTAGCTCTCTATCCCTCTTCCTCTCTGTAAAAAAATCAATAAAGTATATTTTTAAAAAATGACTGTTTATAGCTTTTTTCAAATATATATCTTTTTGTGTGTATGCCTGTGTTATGAATCTTTGTGAATAAAGCCACATTATACATAAATTTTTTTGTTTTTTTGTAGGAAGACCTTTTCTTGGAGTATTAAGATGACTGTATTTGCAATGATTATTGGAGCCTTTGTAGCTGCCAGGTAAGATGTGGGCTTATATAAGCCTATGAGCACATTAGAAATTATCAGTAGTAATTAATAATAATCAATTACCAATGAAGATAATTTTTATAGGCTCCCTAAGAATCATATCTTTGAAAAGCATCCAAAGACCCTTAAAAAATTAAATCTTTTTGAGTTTGTTAAGATCAAGGCTGGTAAAATCAGATTCTTAAAAGTTAAATTCATGTAATTTAGGATTTATTATATAGTCTTCTACTGATTGAGCACCTACCATATGCCACACAATATGTTTGATATTTTAGACATATTCTATATTACAACTCTCAAAGGTATGGATATAATTTTTCTGTTTTATAGTTGAGGAAACTAAAACGTAAATTCAATAACTTATTCAAAGTCCTACAGCTGGTAAGCAGCAGAGCTTGCTGGAATTTGAATCTGTGCCTGACTCCAGAGCCTACGTGCTTTTATAAACCATGTAGCATTTTTTTTTTTTTACTTTGTGTACTGCTGAAGGAAACAGTGTCTCAGAAAAGGCAAATGATAATGAATTATTTGCCTCATCGAATAATGAATAATAGAATTGCTTTATTGGGCCTCACTTAGGATGTATCACAAATGCATAACTTATTCTAAATTATTAAAGCTTTCTCCATTGTTCTTAAGTTTTAGTTTTCAGATGGTTGGAGAAAATGTATATCCAAAGACTCAGAAAATTAAAACGATGGTCCGAAACCTTCTACAACAGGAATCTCTTTAGGTAGAAAAAGGTCAGACACATTTATAGTGAAAGTAGCCGAGACAGGAACACTAATTTTACTCAGCCCAGCGCATGCATATACGGGTTTGCTAATGTCACAGATTCTGCCTGATGTACATTTTTCATTTGGGAGTTATAATGTACCTCTTAAATTGGCTCATTTACCTTCATCTTTTCCTGTGGTATAGATAGGGAGGGGGGAGGAATATAAGTCAAATTTTATTCCACCCTAAATCTCCAAGTGAAATTTCATTGTAAAAAAAAAGTGAGGGGGGGGATAGAATAATTGGTTACTAGAATTTCATTATGTAGCTAACTGCTTTTCTCTCTACATATTACTGCCTCCTTGGATAAACATTCTGTATGAGCACCTACCTTTCTTTTTGAGGCATTTCTTTGGAGCTGGTGGGATCCAAAATTGAGCCACATGATAGGGATTCCTCAGGGCTAACATCTGGCCTGCAAGATTTCTGAGGAGGATTGCTATCTGGACCAGCCTTGTCTATATAGGACATTCTACTTGGGAAAGAGGTTGTGAGGAAGGGAGTCTGAGCTTAGGGGGTGTCCAGGCTGCTTGAAAGGAGGGGTGGGCATTAGGCTGGTTCTGCCTCACATTGCAGTGGTGGAGAGCTCCTCAGAAGTCCTGTTCCATGTAGCAGCATAGGAGTAATAGTAGTAGTAGTAGTTTAGATACAAATACATAGTATCTTTGCAAAATCATAAATGTGGTCCACTGTTTAGCTAGGGTCCTAAAATATGAAGGCATACTTTTCTTAGATTTTCACTTGTTTGTTGAATTTAATAATTTTTTTTTTATCACTACTAAGTACTAGAAAACTTCTGTTTTCCTCATGCCACTAGTATATACCACATAGGTGCATTAAGCAATTATTGCAGTATTTGAATTCCTTCTGTGTGCTTTTGGGCACTGTGGTAGCTTGATCTCAGAGCTAACCATGATCCACACTTCAGAAATTCCACCTCGGGGTCCAACCACCTGCGCAAGATAGTCCTGCCTTTTGCGTGAACTTTTGGAAAATGACATATTAACAGCTCATCTGTTTGGTTTCCTTACCTATGAAATTCAGCTCTGATGCCTTCTGCCCACTTCAGCTGTAACAGTGAATTTGGTTGCTAATTGTTGTCTGACTTGGAATTCAGAACAGTGTGCTATTTAACTGACATGATTGTTCCTGATAATTTTAAGTGTTAGTGTTTCTCCTTTCTGAAGACTCTACTTACTATGAAGTTGCAATATATAACTAGAAATCAAGAAATAAAATACCTACTGTTCATTGACCTAAAAATATGTTGTTGAAAATACTCTATTCACACCTACTTAAAAGGACGTGTTCCTTAAATGAAAGTTGTTAAAGTGCTGCTTATGTTTTGCAGCTCTGACTTGGCATTTGATCTGGAAGGATATGTTTTTATTCTGATCAATGATGTCCTGACAGCAGCAAATGGCGCATACGTAAAACAAAAATTAGATTCAAAGGTAGGTAGCAAATCTAAAGTTTCTGTAAGATGATGTTTATTGATCTTGGGAATGATAATGCCAATTCATCAGAGAAGAAGCAGGGAATAAATAAAAATGTTTAGGAGGAGTGGGAAAGAAAGAGGGGGTTCTCTGAGGGTAGAGAAAAGTGTCATAAATGATCATGGCTGTATTCATGGTGAGGGACCTGAACAAGAAAGAAATATCTGGAAGCCGTGAGCAGATTTGAGGAGAAGTGAGTGTTGGCAGGAGATGCAGAAAAAGAATGGACTTTGCGCATTACACATAATGGGAACCTTTCCGGAGAATTACTATCTTTCTCTGGGGCAACAGCGAGTTCCCTGGCTCAGATCTCATGCACATGAACTTTTTTACCTATCTCTTTTCTCTCACTTTGCAACATGCACACAAAGGCTTTATAGATATTTGTTGTTAGTTTATGTATATGCTTTGCATATAGACACGCTAAATTTTATTTTTAGATGAAGTCAGGTCGTCAGGAACCTGAGTTTTTGAGCCACATTAGTTTACTCCATTATGGTGTAAGGTTACATTATTATTACATATCATAGGATTGTTATTGAAGAGGTTGTCCTTCCTGTCATAATGTGTCCTGTATGGGGACCCACATGAGATATTTATCATAGATGTCACCACAACTCTTCCTGAATAGCTGGTTTATTTTATCTCATTGTAACTGACTATGGCTTTATCTTATTTTCCTACCCGTGTTTTCTCTTCAGTCAGATAGTCTTATCTGTTTAGTTTGTACAGTGTTTCTGGAATGACTTCAGGTCCTTTTTTGGAGTTCAGATCATAAATACCAATGCCCTTCCTAATACTAATAGTATTAATATTGCGTTTGCATCATCTTGGTGAGAAGCTTTACCTTCTCCAGAAAATGACCCTAAAACCCCATGGCCATCCCAATAGTTCTCATTTTCAGAGAATGTTGACTTTTAATATCCTTGAAGAACAGAATGTGTAGATGTTTCCAAACCTTTTATGTCTTGTTCTCCCTGTACTTGCCTTGACAACTTCATGGGATCATTGCATTTTAATGGAAGCGACTATTAACATTTTTGACTTTCTGAAATAGTTAAAGAAAAGGGACCAGTTAGAGATTTAGTTTTATTCTGTGTTTTTTGTTTTGTTTGTTTTTCTTTTTTTCCTTCAGCCCATTTGCTGTTTTGAAATATAGGTATGAATAACTTTTCATTTGTTCAGCAGCCCCAGCTCTTTCAGTATTTCTGCTGTCCAGTAATGGTAGGCACTAGCCATATGTGGCTGTTGAACACTCGCTATATGACTGGTAAAACTGAGAAACTGAATTAGTAGTTTGATGTGTAAATTAAAATACCTTATTGTACAGCACAGTCTAGAGCTGGGATGGGGAACCTTTTTTCTGTGAGGGTCCATTTGGATATTTATAACATCATTTGCGGGTCATACAAAATTATCAGTTTAAAAATTAGCCTGCTATATTTGGTCAAACATTTAATTAACTCACCCCTAATGCTTTGGCAGGGCCAGACCAAATGATTTCCTGGGCCTTATACGGCCTGTGGGCCAGACATTCCCCACCCTTGGCCTAGAGTACTATATATTTTAGAACCTAGAAAAAAGTAAAGAGGGTTTCTGAGTATTTTATTCCCAATAGATCCCTTTTGTTCCTTACTCAGAAATGACTTATGACTTCTTTGTATGAGACCTTTTAAGCACATTGATCTGTTTTTCATAGTTAATGGATTAGAAGCAACAAACTCCACATGGAATTCTATTTAGAGGCAGAGAGGCTTACGGGCAGTCTGAAAGGTCAGCTAACAATAAGAAAGACAAGCAGGAAAACTATAAAAATCAGATGGAAGCCCTGGCTTGTTTGGCTCAGGGATATAGGGCCTGCAGACTGAAGGGTCTCAGGTATGATCCTGGTCAAGGGCACATACCTCGTTTGCAGTCTCAATCCCCAGTCCTAATGGGCATGTGCAGGAGGCAATCAATGATGTGCCTCTCTCACATCGATATTTCTCTCTGATTCCCCCAACCCCCTCCACTCTCAACATGAATGCAAAAACATCAGATGGATGTACTCAGAAATGATTTAGGGGCCATTAAACACCCTTAAGGGCAACATCATATAAGAACAAAGTACAGCCCTGGCTGGTGTGGCTCAGTTGGTTGGAGTGTTGTCCTGTACACTAAAAGGTAGCAGGCTCGATACCCAGTCAGGGCACACATCCAGATTGCGTTCTCGATCCCTGTTAGGGATGCGTGCTGGAGGCAACCCATCAATATTTCTTTCTCACCTTGATATTTCTCTCTCCCTCCTCCCATAACAACACAATGCCCTGACTTTAATAATGTTTATAATGCCCTGACTGAAATTTTAGTCTATTTGCTCCCTTTAAGAAGGCAGAGGAAAAGATGCTCCAAACAGTTAAAATGTTAAGAGAAAAACAAAACAGTTTGGCATTTTAATTTTTGGCAATTGTCAGTTGCCTGAATAGGTGTGTTTTGTGTGGTGTGTAGGCATCCTTTTTAAGAGAGGGATAATACGTAAGTCTCTGGCTGACTGGGTGCCTGCTGTTTCAGATTGTTTTGTCCTATGGCTTTTTTCTTGCTACCTTAGAAATGAGGTACTTCTTTTCCTGATGCTTGTGGTGGCCATAAGCAGTCAGTTTTTTGGTTTATCCAAGAGGCAGTATAGCCACACTGAGAAGCTTTTAATAAAAAGGACTGCTTATAATCATGGTCCTTTGAGGATGAGTCATGGGGCATAAAAATTTAGGGCTGCATTTCAGACATGTATGCAGTTATTGAATTTAAAATATTTTTAACTTTAAAAAAGTCACAAATAATACTATTTATAGAAATATTCGTTTTAAAATGTTTTGTTTATTACTTTTAGAAAGAGAAAAGAAAGGAAGGGAGAGAGAAAGAGGAACATTAATTTTGTTGTTCTACTTATTTAAGAACATTCATTAGTTGATTCTTATATGTGCCCTGACAGAAGATTGAACCCACAACCTGGACATAGAAAGACGATGATCTAACCAACTGAGATACCTGACCAGAGCAATAATACATAGTAATAATAAAAGTTGTAGAAAACATAGATAAGCAAGAGGAAGAAAATACTCCTTAATTCTAACCTCTAGTGAGAAGCACTGTTCTAATGGATATCCTTTAGAGCAGTGTTTTTCAACCTTTTTTGGGCAAAGGCACACTTGTTTCATGAAAAAAATCACGAGGCACACCACCATTAGAAAATGTTAAAAAATTTAACTCTGTGCCTATATTGACTATATATAAAGTAATTCTCTTGAATAGGAATCAAATAAACACAAAGAAAGTATTTTATAATTACTTTATTATGAAATATTAAGTAAACAAAATAGTGAAAAATTATAAAATTCTTGTCTTGTCTGCACCTACGGCACACCAGGCAACATCTCGCGGCACACTAGTGTGCCGCGGAACAGCGGTTGAAAAACGCTGCTTTAGAGTGTGTGTGTGTGTGTGTGTGTGTGTGTGTATGTACACACCTAACAAATTTTTAAAGAGGTATGATACATAATATTTCCTAACCTATATTTTTCATCTAATACTGTTTCATGAATACCTTTCAGTATTATTAAACACTAGAGGCCTGCTGCACAAAATCTGTGCATGTGGGGGGATGTCCCTCAGCCAAGCCTTCATCCTCTCCAATCTGGGATCTCTCTCACAATCCAGGACTGCTGGCTCCCAACCACTCGCCTGCCTGCCTGCCTGCCTGCCTGCCTGCCTGATTGCCCCTAACCACTCCTGCCTGCCAGCCTGATCACTGCCTAACCACTCCCCTGCATAACTGCTCCCCTGCCTGCCCGACTGCCCTTAACTATCTTCTCCTGCAGGCCTGGTCATCCCTAACTGCTTTCTCCTGCTGGCCTGGTCACCCCTAACTTCTCTCCCTTACCAGCTTGGTTGCCCCTAACTGCCCTCCCCTGTAGGACTTGTCTCACTTAACTGTCCTCCCCTGCTGGCTCAGTCACCCCTAACTTCCCTCCCTTGCCAGCCTGGTCGCCCCTAACTGTCCTCCCCTGCTGGCCTGGTCCCCCCCCCAATTGCCCTCTCCTATAGGCCTAGGCCCCTCCTCCCCCCAAACTGTCCTCCCCTACAGGTCTGATCACCCCTAACTGCCCTCCCCTGCTAGTCTGATTGCCCACAACTACTCTTCCCTGTCAGCCATCTTGTGTCCACATGGGGGTGGCCATCTTTGACCACATAGGAGTGGCCATTTGTGTGTTGGAGTGATGGTCAATTTGCATATTACCTCTTTATTATATAGGACTAGAGGCCCAGTGAATGAAATTTGTGCATTGGGGGGAGGGTCCCTAAGCCTGGCCTGTACCCGCTCCAATCTGGGATCCATCTCCCAATCCAGAACCACTAGTTCTTAACTGCTTGCCTGCCTGCCTGCCTGATTGTCCCTAACTGCTCCTCTGATGGCTCTTCCCTAACAGCCTGATGCCCCTAACTGCCTAACTGCCCTCCCCTCTTGGCCTGATCCCACTAACTGCTCCCCTTCCTGATCCTCCTGTCACCTTCTACCTTCTCCTATCTCCCTCAGCGTCGCCTTCTCCCTTCTGCCTTCTCCTGTGGTGACTTCTCCCATGGCCTCTGCTAAAGGGACCATGGTGCTATACTGGCCCTCATAGCCGTCACAGCTGCTGGCCCTCGGCCATTGCAGTTGCTATGACTTTGTCTGGAAGGACATCTGGAAGGATGTCTGGAAGATATCCGGTCTAATTAACCTATTACCTTTTATTGGTATAGATTTTTAGTGGCTTTATAATGTTTCATTGTATGATTGTATCATAGTCTAATCAACTAGTTTTCTGTTGTTGGATATTTGTTTCCAGTTTTTCACAACTTCTTTTGGAAGGTGGTTTGACTTTTTACACAATTCGGTGATCTTTCAGTTAAAAGAAATTAGCCTTTTCCTCACTACTACTTCACCCTCTTACCCCCCAAACTCTGGCCTACTTTTCCAGGTGGCTCTGCTTCCCGATGAATGTCCCAGAAGTGTGTGAGTCAGAGGTGGACCCAGAGTTCTCATAGGCTCCCTGTGTTTGAAGATGTTTGGGGTCCTTCATTGCTCCCCGGTTTCCTAGGATACAACTAGTCATACTCTGTTTTGGGAAATGTAGATAGAGGGAGCTTAATTTTTTAATATACTTCACATACACATTTTCAGAAAAACTTCTCTGGGAAGTTATACCTGCCTGTGTTGATGAGGTGTGAGTCTGTGTCTGGCTCTGACCAGCCATCTCTTATGGTTCTAAAAAGTCCAACACCAGCTTGGTGAATTTTGACTCAATTCCAGAAGGGAAAGGGCTTCGGAAATGGATTTCTGTAGGGATATGTGCATATGTTCAGTATAGCTTCTCCCCTATTGGCTGTTTTGAGGCAACAGTTGGTATCATTTTTATTTCTCTACTCTTAAACAGTCAAGGAATTTATTTTAAATAAATTTTAAAACATAAGTTGTTTTTTTTCTTTTGAAAGCTTGGGCTTCTTCTTGATGTTTGAAAACTTCTGACTTGGCCTAACTGGCTGTGCATATTGTGGGGAAGGTGTGTGTGTATAGTGAGGGTAGGACTTTATGTAGGGTTTTGTATATGTTGTGTGCTAGAACTAAATGAAACACCTAATTATTCCCTATCCTAGGAGCTGGGAAAATATGGCCTGCTCTATTACAATGCACTGTTCATGATTCTGCCCACCCTGGCCATTGCATATCTTACAGGAGATGCACAAAAGGTAGGACTTTCTAACAGTGGTTTAATGCCTTCTGTTTTTTAATTGTATTATTGTTTAAGAACAAAAGATAATTGTGGAGTTGTTAAGTAATGTACTTACCTAGTATTAAGGGACCAAAATCTGAATTTATTTTTTAGCTTGCTAATGTCATGCTAACCTTTTTTCTTGGCATAAGTATTGCATAGTGCTAAAATGGCTCAAAATAGCTCTGGCTGTCAACACATAAAAATAGTGCATGCCAACCAGTGTCTTTTTCTTATGGGCCAGAAGGATGGAGAAAGGGAATTCTTACATTTCTACCAAACTACAAAATAATAGTAGCAAGCTATCCTTGAAAAAGAAACAAACAAATCTTGAAATAATAGAATTCTTCAAGACTTAAAATTTTAGACCTCTCTAGAAGCTTCTGTTTTGGTGTAAAATTTGTCATCCTGGCTTAAATCCCAAGCTGGCTCCCCTCGCCCCCTCCCCCCAGGAGATATTTAGCACAGTGTGGTGACTTAACCATATAAATAGCAAATAATATAATAGTTTACTCATTTCCTGCAAATGTTTAGCTAAATAAATCCAGAATAGAGGAACAAAATAAATCCAAATAAGAATTCTTCTCTAAAACAAGCCTATATTCATAGGCAAAAAAAGTTGATACCATTTTGTTAGAATTCACAAAATTTTGCAAACTACGTAAATGGAAATCTAGAATTCTGCCAAGGATTTCTGTACCAAGATTCCTTCTAATGATCCCCCTGGCAGGTAGGTTTTCAAAATAAATGTGTTGGTTATGTACTCCAGTAGCAGTGACTATTTCCACAAAGAGGTGGCAAGTGGTTAATCTGTTAAAAAATTGCTCTTGAATTAAAAGGTAGGAGAAGACTGACTGTTTTTAAAGCTGTTTGGGGTTTCCCCCCTCTACCCCCTCATCAAGAACTTTCTTAAAACAAACACAAACAAACAAACAAAAAACCTGGCACAGATCAGCTTGAACATGTGTAAAGATTTAATGCACTGTGTAACCGGGCTGCTAGCAGGCCTACAAATGACACCAAAGTAGAAAACTGAGCTATTGCTTTGACTGAACAAGAGTGCTGAAATAAATATTTTGTGGCTGTGGAAAAAAGTGGGAAGAGAAACCAACATTTATTAGCCCCTGTCAGGTGCCAGTCACTTTATGTGTGTGATACGATGTAACCCATAACAGCTCTGTTGCCCATGTGGAAATGAAGTTCAGAGAGACTAAGTAACTAGCTCAGTGTAATACTGTCTGTGGGTAGTAGAGTCAGGATTTAAACCCAAGCTTGACTCCAAAGGCCCTGGTCTTTCCGCAGGGTTCTGTCTTTCTCTAGCAGACTTTGGCTGAAGCAGCCCTCTCTCTTTAGCTTTGGGGCAAGAATGTGATGCAGAATAACCAGGCCCTCCTTGGCAATGCAGATCTCGAGGCCAATCTGTACATGAGAGAGTTGGAAGGAGTAATGTGGTTGGTTAGGTTATTCTACATACTTGGCAAAGGTGGAATTTTCATTAACTTGAAATTCTGACTAGTAGCTACTTGAAAAATTGAACCAAAGGAGAAATATCTTCATTCCAGAGTGATTATAATTGAACTAGAAAATAATAATTCATGCATATTTCAATAACACACATTTAATATGAAATGCTTCAATATAAGTAAGAATGTTTACTCTTAGTGGAAAAATTACTTTGCCACCCGCATTAGAATGAGATTTAGATTTTTCTCCTTTTTTTAAGCAGAGGAGTGAAATTTGAGTAATGTTTGTTTTTCCCCAATGAAAATGCCAGGCAAAGGTCAAGAAAGGTTTATTTTGGAGGAAGTATTCATCTAAATACTTTGAAATTGGGCTGATAAAGTAATTATGGGAACTGAACTCATTGTTTTATAATCAAACCCCACCAGTATTTTGATCTCACATATTTGTTCATTCTCACTCTTATTATTAAAGGGTACTAGGGGCCCAGTGCATGAATTCATGCACTGTGAGAGGAACTGTGGGCTGTGGTGGGCACAGGGGTAGGTCCTGTCACTCCCATACGCAGGCCCCACTCGCACCCGCTGACAGCACCACGTGATTGGGGCTAGTGTCAGCAGCGGGTGCGAGTGGGTCCAGTGCCATCAATGGGTGCGAGTGGCAGCTGCTGCCCTGATGGCCCCTCAGGAGAAGGGGGATGTGGAGAAGCCCTCAGGGGTGATGGGGCTGGCCACCGCTCACACCAGCTGATGGCGCCAAGCGATTGGGACCAGCACTGAGTGACAACAGTGGGTGCGAGCAGTGGCTCCAGCGCCGGCAGCAGGTGTGAGCACCAAGTGGGACCACAGTGCGTGGGGGCAAAGACTTTTCAGTAACCACGGGAGGCTTGCCCTGATCACAGCGACTGGCACCCCACCTTGGTCTGGCGCCCCCGCTCACCTGCTCCACCATCCCGCCTGCTGCCAACGCTCACCATGTTCCATGCGTGACCCCTGGTGGTCAGCGCACGTCATAGCAACCGGTTGGTTGTTCTGATGTTCACTCTATTTGTGTATTAGGATTTTATATATATATAGGTTGTTATTCTTGTATCACTTTTATTGAGGTATAGATAGACATGCTAGCTGATAACCTTACCATCTCATGATCTTTTTCTTATCTCTCTCCTTAATCTGTTCTCCCTCTAACATTCTCAAATAGTTAAGTGCTGTTGTGTGTCTCACAGTGTTAGGCTCAGGTGATTAAAAAAAAAAAGAAATGAGTTAGGTGGTATTGCCTTCGAGGACCATCAGTCACTTTGTGGAGCATATCTGTCATCATCAGAGCAATAAACTATTATGTTTTGTGGAAGAGATGCTTTGGGTGCACTATAGGGTGTAAAATGGAAGAGGATCAAGTCTCTCTCCTTGTTGGGGATGGAATGCCTCAGGAAGCTTTCCTGTGCACGGAATTAAAATATCAGTGAATTATCAGTGTTGTTTTCATAGGCTGTGAATTAAATTTGAAACTTGGGAATTGAGAACCTAAGTTTGATTCTGTTCTTAAATTCCTGAGATAAGTCAGTTCAATGTTATTTTAAGTTCAATTCGGATTAGTATTTCTGAGTATTTTTCTTTTGCTAAGAAAGCCCTGTGCTAAGTTCTCTTGGGAATATATGAGAAATATAGCATAGTTCTTGCCACACCAGGAAAACACAGAGATGGTGTAAGAAATAGCACCAAAGTGCATGACCATCAGTCAGTGCTATAAGTATAGGGTTGGAAGAAATGTATGTGGGCTGAATCTCAAGATTAGCTTTTTTTTTTTTTTAAATATATATTTTATTGATTTTAGAAAGGAAGGGAGAGGGAGAGAGATATAGAAACATCAATGATGAGAGAGAACCATTGATCGGCTGCCTCCTGCACGCCCCCTACTGGGAATTGAGCCCACAGCCCAGGCTTCTGCCCTTGGCTGGAATCAAACCTGGGACCCTTCAGTCCACAGGCCAATGCTCTATCCATTGAGCCAAACCAGCTGGAGTTCAAGATTAGCTATTTTATTGATTTTTTTTTTTTTTTTAACAGAGATGAAGGGAGAGGGATAGATAGTTAGAAACATCGATCAGGTGCCTCCTGCACACTCCCTACTAGGGATGTGCCCGCAACCAAGGTACATGCCCTTGACCGGAATTGAACCTGGTACCTTTCAGTCCACAGGCTGACACTCTATTCACTGATCCAAACCGGTTTTGGCAAGATTAGCTTTTTAATCCTTTTCCATTTTATACCCCACAATGCACCCAAAACATTTCTTCCACAAAACCTATCATAGTTTATTGCTCTGATGGTGACAGGTCTACTCCACAAGGTGACTCCATGGTCCTCAAAGGCAAGAAGACCGCCTAATTCATCTTTCTTTCTTATCACCTGAGCCTAATACTGTGAAGGGCACAAGAGCACTTCACTAAAGGAGACAGGGCTTGGCTTTCTTATCTACCAAGTGCAACAAGTAATGCTCACCTGTGCTAGGGGTGGTTGTTGAGACATAACTTAGAGAGGTGGTTGAGGGGTGTGTTTTTATTAACCAGCACAGAAACAATGGGTGGAAGCCATAGGCAGCCTACTGTGTCCAAGATGCTCATAGCAGCCTACAGGAGTTGCAGTGTATTTCTTCCACCGGAAAATTCAGTCTCAGAGTGGTCAGTTGAAGTCTGGTAACGAGTTCCCATGTCAGAGTTTTCTAGTAAGTCAGGTTCATTTTTAGCACATGTCTTTTAGACCTGTGCTTTTTCTCCAAAGTACGTATACCTATAAGTGGACATTCATGTAGGTGCATGTATTTTTTAAAGAATGGGTGCTTTTTCATGTGACAGTGTACCTTTAACTAAAGCTGTTCCCAAGTTAACAATCTGGGCCTCCTTCTGGCCTTATAGGGTATGAGGCCTTGTACCTGATAAGATGCTCCCATATAAATTACTTTCCCTGACCTCATTGTATGCCTGTGAGGTAGGTCATTATCTGATTTGCAAAGGTTAAGGGCATGCGTAAGGTTGCACAGTGTCAGATTTTAGAGCCTGCCTGTCTGACTCCACATCGATCCCTTGCTTGACTACATCTGTGCTCTCTTTCCGACTAGCAGGTGTCCTCAAACTTTTTAAAGTGGGGGCCAGATCATGGTCCCTCAGAGAGCTGGAGGGCCGGACTATATGAACTACTAATTCCTACTGTAACACCTCGGCTGCGCTCACTGCCCAAAAAACCTGGCGGGCCGGATCAGACTCTTCTGCGGGCTGCATGTGGCCCGCGGGCCGTAGTTTGAAGACGCCTGGACTAGGGCTTTCTTCCAGAACAAGCTACTGAATGTGAAAAACACCCCAGGGTAGTATTAGAAGTGAAGTCTCTGAAGCTGGGCCTTGTTGTTACTTAATTGTTTACAAATAATCATATTTCTTTTCATTCACTCTGATGCTGTTCTAAGAAAAGAGAAAGAAAGAAAGAAAGAAAGAAAGAAAGAAAGAAAGAAAGAAAGAAAGAG